TTTTTTTTCTAAAAATTGTTTTTTGTTTGATATTCAGGAAATACCACAATGACAATTTTATACAAATAATCTTTTGCCAGGACATACGTCGGTCATTTTGAAGTTTCAAAACAATTTGCCTAACTAAAAAATTTGTATTGCTATAGCTGCGATAATGCAAAAAACAATATAACGATAGAAAGTTCTGTAGTTCACGTCTTGTAAAGTATTGCCGTGAAATTTGACAAAAAATACCAATTCACGTCTCTTGGTAGCAAATATCGAGGGTGGTATATATCAATCTCCCGCTAGCTAACTGTTCTCGTACAGGTCGTACCTATTTGGACTTGGGCTCCCCGCTATGCGCGATACGCCTACGCTGCAACGCTTGGTCACCTACCCGATTTCGCTTGACTAAAAATTGTGTAGAATAGTGCTTCTCGTGGTTAGACGGCCGAAAAGTTAGTAAATGAATCGATTTATTTAGTAGCCAAATAGTAGAATTTGATAACTGTTGTATTGCAAAGGAGGGCGATTGGCTTAGTGGTATGAGGCGCCGCTATGATTGAAGACGCCGAATCCTTTATCCTTTTTTATTTATGTGTTTCAAAGGATTTTCTGACTGGAGATTTGATTTTATGTAACTTCTAAATTTTACATGGATTTCGGAGCCCGATCCCTCCATCCTTGCTCTGCTCTTGTAAATCTCAAGACTGAAAAAATCAAAGTTCAATAAAACAAACCTCTTGCAGCATAACATTCATCAAATCTCACTCGTTGAATAGTAAATGATCGCTCAACCTACCAACGTTCTCGCCACCTAGTCAAAGAAATGAGCTACACACAATTTACAGTCAAAAGGTAGGATTGGTGACCAGGCGTTGCTGACCAATCCGATTCTGCTTGACCGGGCTCTTGCACATTTCCGCCCACGTATACGCGTCATGATCTTCTGACTGGATTACGGCCTGTACAGGAACACTTACCCGAAGGGAAGATTGGTGCATACCCCTTGCCCAATTTCGCTTTTATGAAGTTGAAGTACGGCAAGATTTTTACGCGAACGATTTTCTGAAGTGTCACCGCTTGCCTTCGGTTGCTGAACTTAACTTTTTTTATGCTTTTTACATTTGAACCGAGTTGAAAAGGGTCTTCAGATTTGATCATTTTATCTACTTTTGCCCGGATGACAATTACCTATATTTAATCAGAATCTATTTCTCTTAGTTGATTATAAAATAAAATCTTCGTAACAAATCTTTGAAATAATTTTTATACAATGAGGCGCTTCAATTGTGACCGTTCCCACTTTCAATTATACATGTAGACCATAGTCGATAAGCCATATCAAGACCTAAAACATGCTAGTTATACCATTTATCATTAGTGATATATAAAAATTGTACTTGATTGCTTATAGCCACCAAAAGGTGCAGCAGAGTCAAACACATCGAAGCATTCGTGAGCCAGGATTTGGAAGAATGAACTCCATGTTGTTCATAGAAACGAATCTCCAATTTTTTCTATATTTTATGGTCCGCATTAGCCGGAGACCATCACAAACAACACAAACTTCACCCATTCAACTTTCTTGAGTCACATGAGCTAGTGGAGCATCACAGACATTATGAGACTCATCCTTTAGAATTTCCTGATGTAAATGAGCTAGAAGACCGTCACGAACAGCATGAACCTTATCCTTCAGAATTTCTTGGTGCACAGCAGCTACGAAAGCATTATCATCATGGAACACAATCTTCTATATTACCTGGGCTCGAGATAATGAGATCAAAGAGAATAATAGTGCCGGCAAAAGGTTCGGTGGTAACACCAGAATGGGTAAAACGCCCCATACGCCACGTAGAACTCTTGGGACAAACTTACCATTGAATGATTTGCACTTTCTTAACAAATTTCCAACATCAATGGCAAAAGTTTTTAGATCCTATCATATACAAAATCATCACACCGCTAGAGAACGAGGAATATCTTTTGGATCACCGCTGAAGGTTGTGAAAGTTCACACTGTTGTACTACTGATTTACAGAGTTGTGGTGTTTCTAGAAACTACCATACCGAACCACACCACTACCGGATGTTGAGCGAACTACAGCTACCGAAAGAGAAGGTCAAAACAAACCGATATAAGAAAAATAAAATTTGAAAAAATAATTCAGTGAACACAAGAAGAGACCATGACCGCTGCACAAAGGGGAACCATGATGACGGTGACGACCGAAATTGAGCAGAGGAATAGAACTTCATACCGATTTGAAGGTTAGCACTTTGAAAAGTTCTGAGCTCACTTGCCAAATTGTTCGATTCTGGTGCTTTTTTAGGTACATGAATGTATGTGAATTAGAGAAGTATATGAATATATGTGAATTATTATGTATGAACATGTGTGAATTTAGAGAAATAATTATGACGAAAAATTCCTTATTTCGTGGATAGTCAAAGAGTTTCCTGTTTCAGTCTTTTTTATAATGAAATTCTGTTCAAATGATCTTCTTATTTCCTCCTATTCCTCAGGAGCCGCTAATTGCACTAATCACAACGCCTGCAACTGGGAACTGAAGAAGATTGTAATCCGTGTCAGTTATTGCAATTGATATCAAATGGAGTCCAGAAGACACTTTTCATCATATTGGTGAGAAACAATGGAAAACGCCATGCAAAGGTTCACAAGTAGAGCTCTCTCAATGATAAAGGCTCAAACGAATTCGCGTACGCTTCGCGCGACAGATCGTTGAGCTTCGTTTGGGATCAGTCTTCACCAGTTTTGCCTCTAGCAACTCAATGACTAAAGAATCAATACTCCTAAAACTGAAAATTCGTTCTGAAAAGATTATAGCTTCTGAATCACTATGTTTACTCACCTATCAAACTCAAGCTCCCCAGTCAAAACTTCACAAAAAAAAAACTGGGCTAATAGTTGAAAACAACTCAGATTTTCAGCGCATCTACACAATAATCTCATTCGTCCCTTTTTACCAATTTC